AGATTAAAAATAGAAGACAGAAAACCAGGCTTAATTCAGTTGTATGTGACTTCCTGATTCATCACCAAATCTAACCATTCTGCCTTGTTTGGTCCATCATGTAAATTACTTGAAACCCAGAGGAATATTCAGTGGACATAGAAGATAAAAGATTAAAAGATAATATAGCACTTGGACTTATTTTTAAGATTAGTCTAAACTTAGTCTTTTTCTATGGCATGAAGGGAAAGGACTGTAAGAAGTAATCAGAAGTTACAAAAAGTAACCATTCAATGGAAAAAGGAAGGTGGACTTAAACAATAAGTAAATAAACATTTGCTCTGGTATTGAAAAGGGGATTAAGAATTTATGAGAGTGTCAGACTAAGACTGAGAGAGATTGATATGGAATTTGAAATTATAATATAAAAATCTAAATAATAATGGATGGAACAGAGTAGAAAAAAAGATGTCCAAATCTTGAGTTCCTTAGCATATTTAAATGAAGAAACCACCTCTTGTCCTGCATATTAATATGATGTAAGTATATTTTTTATATAATTACCCATATTCATATGTTAAACAGTCTATTTTGTTTCCAAGTATATTTTACAAATTAATATGAAATTCTTGTTTGGTCAAAAATTTTAGTGAGGGAAGATGTCAAGTGTTACAGGGGATGTTAATGATCATTAGAGATCTTTGCGACCATTATCATATGATAAATATCAGTAAATTGTAAAAAAAGTTTAATTGCAACTGAAATACATGAAAAACATCCAGTTATACAATTATGGTAAAACTATAACACTTGACCTACAATTATGGTACAATTATGGTTAAGTGTTATAGTTTTACTATAATTGTATAACTGGATGTTTTTCATGTATTTCAGTTGCAATTAAACTTTTTTTACAATTTACTGATATTTATCACATGATAATGGTAGCAAAGATCTCTAGTGATCACTAATGTCCTTCCAATATCTTTTTCCATTTCTGTTCATACTTCCTCGACCCTCTCTATGTTCTAACAAATATTTATTGAGCACCAACCAGTATAAATCACTGTGACAGGCACTGTCTTAGATCTTGAAGTATGACTAGATCAATTTAAGAGACACTAAAGATAAAACTCAGGGAGTTTGGGAATCTAAGAATCTAATTAAATATCACAGAGCTAGAAGTGGTCAAACCACTGATTTTAAAACTTGTTACATTTTCCCCATTATGCCACATTTTCCAACTAAATGTTGAATCTTGAAATGTGCAATTTTATGTACCTTTCTAGGGATCCACAGAATTGTTAATGAGGGAAAAACACCAAAAAACTAAAAGCCTTAATTTAGTAAGTTTATAATTAAATTATTACATATAGACTCTTATGATTCAGAAACTTTCCTCTAAACATGAGAGTTCCTGAGGGCCCTGAAATAATCTAGAAAAGCCAAAGTTTGTTTTGTTTTGCTTTGTTTTGTTTTTTCATTGTCCTGAAATTAAGCGACCCCTCCTTGGGTTTCCAAAGTGGTATCACTATGGAAGTAGATTGCCCAATCTTCCTTTTGAGAAAAGATGCCATGGGATGGAGTATAATGCAACACCCTTAGTTCTCAAAGGAGTATGTTTGTCCTGTAATGCAGCAAAAAATATGAAGCTCTCAAAGCCATTTTCCTAGTTATATAATCCACATGTCAACCACGACAAAGAGCCACTCAATTTGTTCTCCAGCCATCTCAGATATTTGTTGTTAATAGCACATTGCTTTTGAAGATCTCAAATTGTCTACCTTTTACAATATGAGAAAAGAATCAAGGTTCTATCAGCATAAAGGAATATTTAGTCAGGAAGAAAAAGAGAGGACGATGAGAGTGTTACGAAACAGTTGACTAAATAAACAGAAAGAACAATTGGGTAGATGAGAGTCCACACTATTCTGCCTTAAAATACTTGTTGATCCCCTGTGATGTTAGTGATGACGAGAAAAGGAGAGAAATGAAAGAAAATGTGAGTGTTTCTACTTGTCTAGGAATGTGTTCTATTTTTATATTATATATAAAGAAACTTAATACTTGTCCACCCAGATGTGGTCAAGATTTTTAATGCAGTAATAAACAGGTTAGAAAGGTTTTTTGTTGCTGTTGTATTATTATTATTTTTTAATCTGAGAGGACTAGAGGGTTGGGAAAGTGAGAAAGGAGGAGAAAACATTAGAATATTTATAAGAGAAAGAGTGCCTCTTGTACCAAGACTCTATGTTAATAGCTAAGTCTTTTTAGAGTCTCATAACTTAAAAAAAAATAATTCACCTAGTATAACTTAGAAGATTATCAGAAGAGAAGGAATAAAGCATCTTGCTACCGTAAACTGTTCTGTTTCTATCCTTGTCCTGCACTCCTGTCTTCCTGTGACCTCCCACCTTTGAACCTTGAAAGATCTGATACACACTAGATGTATTAATGCTTGGGTCCCTTCCCTACGCCCAACATTAATATAGTGATAATCAATTATTCGGCACTACAATTTTATGCAATTTACTAGGAATGACTTGTGGTCAACTACTCATTACACTGATACTCAATCCATAGTACCAATGACAGTAGTGAATAGAGACAAATATAAATATCCTTTTCAACTAACAACTAAAAAGAAATGATAGACTTCAAGATATACTAAGTAGAAGTTATGATAAACTCTGTATTTGATATATGAAAATACAGATTACAAAGTTTATCATTACAAAGTTAATCTTGGAGTAGCTACAAACCCATGCTTAAAGGAGGAGGTCTCCCAATTCTAATCATTTATTTATTTTGTAAGTAAATGAACACCTTTGATGCTCAAAGAATGAGGAATTAAGCAGAAAGTGTGACTGCCTCCATGGTAAACAAGATAAATATTTAAACTGAAAAGAAAAAGGAATATGATCATATTCATCTTTTATAGATACAGAAATGTACCCAGAATTTAAAAGGAAGTAAAAATAGCTGTACTACCAAATCAACTGTGACTCGATTCAGCTCTGACTACATTTGAAAATGACTCAAATGGACAGAATCGACAATGTATTTGTAAAGATTACTTATCAACAACCTAGAAATGTCATGTAATAATAATAACCCTTATCTGAAACAGAGGTGAGGAGCTCTGGTGGTATAGCACCTAAGGCATTTGACTGCTAATCAGAAGGCTGGCAGTTCAAACCCACCAGCCACTCCTTGGAAGGAAGATTGGGGAATCTACTTCTGTAATGATACTGCCTCAGAAACCCAAGGATGGGTCACTATGACTCGGTTCCTACTTGATGGCAGTGAGTTTGGTGTTTGGCTTGGAGTTTGGAAAAGAGGTGAAGACAAAACCTTTCTTATTAAAACAAGAATAAAAATGACTTGACCAGCATGCCCTGCATGGCACAAATTGTTAAATGTTCTGCTACTAACAAAAAGCTTGGAAGTTCAAATCCACACAAAAAGCACCTCAGAAAAAAGGTTGGTGATCTACTCCCAAAAGATCACATCCTTGTAAACTGTATGGAACACAGTTCTACTCTGCACACAAAGGTCACCATGACTCAGAATCAACCCAAAGGCAAATGGTTATGGTTTTAACAGTAACTTGCTTTCCAAATGGCTGAAAACAATACACCACTCCTTGGGAGATCTGGTGGCGTAGTGCCTAAGAATTTGACTGCTAACCAGAAGACTTGTAGGAACATAAGGAAGAATGGGCATCTAGTTCCATAGAGATATAACCTCAGAAACTGAAGGAGGGGTCACTATGAATCAGAAAATGATTCGATGGCAGTGACTTTGTGGTTTTTTTTTTTTTGGTTTTGGGTTTCCAAGGTGGTATCATATGGAAGTAGAGTGCCTAATCTTCCTTCCAATGAGTGGCTGGTGGGCTTGAACCACCAGCTTTCTAGTTTGTAATCAAATGCCTTACGCACTGCACCACCAGAGCTCCTAATATAAAATATAAGAGATCTACTTCAGAGAACCTGCAAGAATGGGGTTGCTTATGTCTAGGTGTTGCCATGGACATAACATTTGTGAAGAACAAAGAAGAAACATGCCATTTTTCTAAAAGATATTTTTTCACAAATATATAAGATTAGTTATGCATATTATGATCGATAAATCAAGAACTCATTTTTTTCTTTAACAATGTAAACATCAAAAAGTTTATGTAACTATACAAAAGAAAAACTACCTTATGAAGAGACCAATTACAACTATGTCAAAAATACTAGTTGTCCAACTAGGCATTACATTGATACTCAGCACTTAGTACCAATGACAGAAGCAGATAGAGACAAGTACAAATATCCCTTTTGTCTGTATTCTGCCCAGTATTCAGGTTTTGTGCTTGGATTTGGAAAATACCCTAAAAGTTAAAGTAACTTTGAAAACAATGCCTCAACTAAGTTTTAATACCCCCTTTCTCCATTTTCAGATCGAATGACTGGATTAAATATGGCCCTCTGCACAGAACTTACACTGGGAAAACAGTAGAGCAGGAACAGGGACATTGTGTAAAAGAGAATAAAATGATTTTTAAAAATATATTGATGAGGACCATTGAGATAATTTCATTCAACCAAAAATTTAAATATGAGAATACTGGGGTTTAAAGAAGTAATGCAATTTATCAAAAAAAAAAAAAAACTTACTCTCATTGAATTGGTCTCAACTCATAATGACCTCTCCTTGGGTTTCCAAGGCAGTATCTCTACAGTAGATTGCCCAGTCTTTCTTCTGAGGAGGGGTTGGTGGGTTTGAACCACCAGCCTTCTGGTTAGTAGTCAAATGCCTTAGACACTATGCCACCAGAGCTCCTTGGTCCCACATTTATTCAGAGTCAGAGACAGGACTAGAACAAATCACTCTTGACTCCTACACAAATGTTTTTCTACCTTACTCTTATCACAGTTAGTGAGAACTACTCATCTCAGTTGACTTTCATCCCTTTATATTTTATACCTTTTTTTCAGAGACATGCTGCTCATTAAGCATTGCATGCAATGAACATGCAGAATGAAACCACAGTGACAGAATTTACCCTAACTGCCTTCCCTGCTCTACAGAAGCTTCGAATTTTCCTCTTTGTGGTTCTCTTGTTTACTTACATGCTTACTCTGACAGGAAATTCTGTTGTCATTTCCTTAATATGGGCTGACAATCGTTTTCAAACCCCAATGTACTTCTTCCTCAGTAATTTATCACTTTTGGACATTTCATATACTACTACAGTTACCCCAAAGCTGTTAGCCTGTCTCCTACAAGAGAGGAAGAGCATATCCTTGGCTGGCTGTTTCACCCAGATATACTTTTTTTTTTTCCTGGGGACGGTGGAGTTCATCCTCTTGGCTGTCATGTCCTTTGACCGTTACATGGCCATCTGTAACCCCCTGCGCTACACTATCATCATGAACAGTAGATTCTGTTTTCTGCTGATGCTGGGATGCTGGATGGGAGCTTTCCTGTCAGTGCTATACCCAATTATTGTGGTGTCAGGGTTACCTTTCTGCTATAAGGAAATTAGTCACTTCTTCTGTGACATCGCCCCTCTGCTACAGGCTGCCTGTATTGATACTCATTTCATTGAGATGATAAGCTTTATCTTATCTTCCCTTGTCCTCCTGACTTCACTGATGTTCACCACGGTGTCCTACGCCTACATCATCTCTACCATCTTGCGCATCCCCTCAGCCCAAGGACGTCAGAAGGCCTTTTCCACTTGTGCTTCTCACATCACTGTTGTCTCCATTGCCTACGGAAGCAACATCTTCATGTATGTGAGGCCTAGCCAGAGCCACTCACTGGATATTGACAAGGTGACTGCTGCCCTCACAACAATAATGACCCCTCTTCTGAATCCCTTCATTTATAGCTTGAGGAATGAAAAGGTAAAAGAAGCCTTGAGAGAAGCAATCACAAGACTTATGTCCTTATTGTACAAGAGAACTTGAAACTTTAAGGAAGTTTTCTCAGAATGATTATTTCCAACTCTTTGACTTAGTGTAGAGAAAGGCATGTTTGAAAATCAGAAATCTGAGATGTATAGAAGGTATAAATAGGGTTGGTGCCACATCGAAGGTGATTCAGCCATAAAGAAAAGAACATGTTCTCAGCTCTATTACTGGATTGCCTCACTTGAGGAATATCCAGGATTAGTGAAAAATACTAAAGTCAAAAAACTTGAATCTTAAGCCTGGTTCTAATACTTTGTTTTTGTTTTTGTTTTAATCTGGTGACACTTAGCCTCTCTGGACCTTTGGTTTCTTATCTGTAAAGTGGGAAAAATAGTTTGTGCTATTCTTTATCTTGTTAACCAAGATAATCTAAGAAATGCAGCTGCATGTAATTAAGAATGAATACTTTTTACTGGGACTTTTCAGATATGGCAAAATGTTTGTCTTTACCTCTGGCAGCTAAATACTATAGATAACAACAAAAACAATAGCAACAACAGGGAGAAGAGTAATACAGCACAGGGATGGTCCAATGTGTTTAAATATATACATTTATCTTTTAATCTTCTTAACAACTTTGGGAAGCTGAGGTTTACAGAGGTTAAGCATCTTGCCCCAAACCAAACCACTGGTGGGTGGCAGAAATTTAGGGCATATGAGCTTCAGTCTCCTTTAACACCTCACTATATCATCAAGAAGGAGTTCTGATAATTTTGTGGATAAGGCATTTGGCTGCTAACCAGAAGGTCAGTGGTGAAACTCATCAGCCACTCCACAGAAAGAAGATGGGGTAATCTACTTCCATAAAGATTTCAGCCTCAGAAACCCAACAGGGGTTGCCGTGACTCAGAATTGACTTGATAGCAGTGAGTTTGGATTTTTTTTTAATATCATCAAGAGTGGTAGGGGAAGAAGTCAAAGAGGGGAAACAGAAGTTTACCAAGAAGTTAGCCACTTTTGCTGAAACCGGAAGTGTCCTCTGCCTGCCGTTAACAGCCTGGAGGATCAGAGCATACTGGAAGTGGGATGCAGTCAGCATAGACTCTAAGAGACCACTGGTTTGAAAGGAAAACCAGTCAGAGGTCATAGCTAAGCATAAGTCAGACAGACCATCTGTGTCAACTAGCCCATGTGTCCATCAAAAAAGAGATTAAGTCATAAATCTTAGGATTCTTTTGGTTGAAAGGGGAAAAAATACAGAAAACTAATCAAGATAGCTTAAGTAAAATGGGTATTTATTATAACATTCAGAATAATATGGAACTCCAGAAGACACAAAATAACCAGACGTGTTAAGAGATCAGAAGCAGGAATTAGACACCCTTAAAGAATCAGGGAAAGTATTCCCATTCCTTCTAAATCTCTGATTGCTCTCTTTCTCTCTTAGGGGTTATATGGTCTCTATATTGCTACTTTTCCCCACATACTTTGTGGTTGGTATGGTAAAATTGAGGATTTCTAAGCTGATCAAGTTGTGAGGCCACCACTCAGAAAGTTGAATAGAGCAAGGGGCCTGACAAGAGGGAAAGGGGAAAAGGGAGAGTAGTCTTCCTAGGTGATGTCATTCCGTGATGAAGTGGGAAGTCTCTGGGTCAGGGAGTTCAGAAGGGCAGCAGTGGTTTGGGGTCTTTTATAGTTACAAAGTTTGTCTTGTCCATGATTAGCAGATGTTAGGTGTAGTTTCATATGATATGTAAAGTAAAAAAAAAAAAAAAACCTCACTGTTATCGAGTCATTTCTGACTGTGGTGGTAGTTATTCCCATGATGAGACTGGCAATCAACTCCATGGTGGGATCTACCACAAGCAGCTGAGTAAGCTGCCTTTGGGATGTGGTCTGCTTCTTGTATTTAAGGAGAAGCCTTGGGAATGGTCTCTGGCCTACGGCACTCTTGGACCCCGCATGTAGCTGTGTCAGTGTTCAGCAGCCTGTCATACCAACTTTGGGACTTACAATGGACTTAAGTTAATGGCCTGCCATGTGGTTTGGTAACATCGGAACTGTGCCTTTTTACTTGTCAACCTTGGGGTTTCTCAGACTCAGTAGCCATCAGCTGTCTGAGTGAAGAAATGCCTCTAGCTCCAGTGGGCTGGGGGCAGAAGGCAGAGCTAGACCCCAAGGTTGAGGGGCTTTCACCCAGCCCCTAGAGCCTGGCACTTTGAACTTGGACTTAAAGCCTCCAAATTGGAAGACTAAACTCCTGTTTGTTAATGCCATCCCATTTGTGGTATATTCTTGTCAGAGTGGCACTAGGTAACCAGAAAAAGTGCCTAAGGAACTTGAGTGCTAACCAGAAGGCTAATGGTTCAAACCCACCAGCCACTCCTCAGAAGAAAAGTTGGACAATCTACTTCTGTAGTGATACTGCCTCAGAAACCCAAGGAGGGGGCCACTATGAGTCGGATCTGACTCGACAGTAGTGAGTGATTTAAAAGAAAACCAACTCTGCCATTGAGCCAATTCCTACTCATAGTGACCACCTTTGGGTTTCTGAGGTGGTAAATCTTTACCAAAGTATATTGTCCCATCTTCCTTCCATGGAGTGGCTGGTGGGTTTGAACCATCAACCTTCTGGTTAGCACTCAAATGCCTTAGGCACTGTGGCACCAAACCTCCTTATTTACAAATACAAGAATTTTATAAATCCCAATGGAAGTAGAAGATGGCAGAATAGGCAAACTATACAGACCCTGTTCAACAAAGAAAAAAAGAACCAATTAACACAAATACAGAAGATAATACTGGGGCCCTGAGCTTCAAAAGGAAGGATATAGAAGTAGACTAAACTCCAACTAGTAGAAGAACCTGCATGAAAACACCAAAAAAAGCAGACATACAGAGCTGCGGGCTATCAGCAATCCTGATGGTACAGACAGCTTAGATATTGCCAAGGGGTGTTAGGACTTAAGAATCAACCTAAAAATTGGCCCTGCTAGCCAGGGGCTTCACAGAGGACTGCACTGGAGCTGGTGAATAAAACAAACAGACAAACAAATAGACAAACTGAGCTGTGGACTCTTGGCTGCCCAGAAGGTGCAGCCATTTTGAATGTTTACAAGTGGTTTGACCATTGTGGAGATTGAAAGCAACAGCATTCTCTCAGATTCCAGGGACCTAAGAATAGGCTCCACTTGCTGGGAACCGCAAGGACATTCCAGACACAAACAACTGGAATGGTAGATATTTCCCTTGTTACTCTTATACCCCACACCCTCTTGGTGAACAAAGGTGTGGCCATCACTCACTCTCACTCACCTTCTGGGCCAGCAGGAATTCCATCCCAGTCTGTGTGCACTAATGGAGCCTGGGTACCCTACTCCACACTGCCCAATTTCCCCCCTCCCCTTTTTTTTTCTTTTTTTAAGTTTGTTTTTGTCTGTTTGAAATTTATTAATTTTTTTATCCTCTTCTATATTATTCTTGAGGGAGCTCTGGTAGCATAGTGGCTAAGACACTTGCCTGCTAACCAGACAGCTGGTGGTTCAAACCCACCAGCCACTCCTCGGAAGGAAGGTTGGGAAATCCTACTTCTGTAGTGATACTGCCTCAGAAACCCAAGGAGGGGTCGCTATGAGTCGGGGCCAACTCGGCAGCACATAACAACAACAACAACAACATATTCTTTATTCTTCCCTTCCCATATTCTATTTTTCAGCCTTTTCTCTTTTTCCTATTCCTGGTTCCCATTTTTTTTTCTTTCTCATGGTTAACCCCATCCCTTGTTTTGCATTTTGCATATTTCCCATTTTATTCTTCATTATTCTCCTACTCTACCTCTCTTCTCTTATTGCTCCCTCCCCAGATATTTTGGGTCTTTTTTCTCTTTCTTTTTTTTTTTTTTTTAGTGATTGTCCCTGTGTGCCTATGTGGTTTTTGTCCACTTGCTTTTACTGTTTTGATGGTTTTTCTATTGTTTTTGTCTAACTGAGTGGGAGACAGCAACCATGCACATACAACACAACCACACCCACACCTCCTGCACCTCCACTTACTGAGTGAAAGCCACCACTTCCATCTCTACCACTGGCCAATGATAACTGACCACCAAGAAGAGCCTGGCTCACCATTTACTGTTCTTCACAAACAGTTAGCAGAGATCTAAATACAACAATGGCACAATGTCTCAGAGACAACAGACCATCACTGTCCATGCAAAGAAACAAGATAAAGCAGTAGAAACAAGGGAGCAGGATACAGACCCAGAACACATCCGTGAGGAAGCAGCAGCATTGGAAATCCCTGACAGGAAATTCAAATGAATTATATTTAGATACCTCCAAAGAATTGAGAGAGAAATCAAGGAAAACACTGACAAAATCTTAGAACAATTTTGGAAGAAAATACAAGAACAAAATGAGAAAATAAATGAACAATTAGAAATGACACAAAATCTACAGATAGAAATACAGAAGATTAATACTAAATTTTCAGAAATAGATAACACATTGAACAGGCAAAAGAGTAGAATTGAATCAATGCAAGACAGAATTCATAAGATTAAAGACAAATACCTGAATACTTTTTGGAAAGGGCTCAATCAGAAATAAGATAAAAACAAAATGAAGAAAACCAAAGATTCATGTGGGATACTATCAAAAGGAATAACCTACATGTAATCAGAATTCCAGAACAGGAAGAGAAAAAAAAAAGCCACTGAGAAAATTGTCCAAGATTTGTTGGAATAGAACTTCCTTGATATGATAAAAGATGAGAATATATCCATTAAGGAAGTCCAACGAACCCAAAATAGGATAGACCCAAAAGGAAAATTACCAAGACATATCATCATCAAACTCATCAAAACCAAAGACAAAAAGAATTCTGAAAGCAGCATGGCAAAAATAAAAAGTTATTTACAAAGGATAACCAAGAAGAATAAGCTTTGACTTCTTAGCAGAAACCATGCAAGCAAGAAGGCAATTGGATGGTATATATAAAACCATAAAAGAAAAATTTCCAAATAAGAATTACATACTCAGCAAAATTGTCCCTCAATT